TAAAGGTTTGTTATTTATACAGCTTTTGAGTGCTTGGATGTCAAAAATCCGTGGTAGACCTGTTTAGTTCTAGCATGTATTCTCGGTCGAAGATATTTGAAATAAGTATTGTAAATTATAAATATATATTTACAAAGAGCAACCCATGGAAGTTTCTTGCTCATTCTCCTCAGGGGAATCTGCCTTACGAATGAGCAGTAGAGTTAAATCAATATTACGATTTCAAGTGTAATCAATAGGCTTACCTATGAAATAAAGATGTTCAATGCAATTCTATATTAATAAGTGTAGTGAGTCTATAAATATTGCAAATTTAATTTTCCCACCCTCCCAGCTAGGTATTCTTTGGCCGAGTGTCGAACAATCAAAAACTTCTGAGAATGCCTCGTAGAGGGGCGAAACACGTGTAGAGTATAATTTTGGTAGTTGTGTTTGTGGTTTCCTTTTATGTTGTTTGTTTTGCGAAGAGAGGGTGAGAAAGTTACCTGCATGAGAATTAATTTTCCTTTTTAATGTAAAATCGACTAAATCTTGGTGCGAACTCGAAAGCTTTTTATAGCACTGCCGATATTTGTGTTCCCCAAAAGCTACTATTTGGGACTATTCAAGGTCGATACCAAGTGCCGGGACGAACAAGTCGTGCGCCTGGTGGTAAACGACACGCCTTTCCATAGCAGTTGTAATAATCGCAACAATCTGAGGGACACTGCCACTTCGCCCGTCACCCTGAGACACAAGTTGACAAGTCGCGTGTGCGTTTTAACTACCACCGTGGCTGAACGGTTACCATGCTGGTCTGTCACGCAAAGTTTGGGTGCAATTTTTCCTTGTCTCCATGGCACCTGCGACACAGGGTTTTTTTTACCCCTCAACACAAGAACGTCATATGCTGCTACTAAAGTATTAGTAGCATAATAACTCCTTGTGAAAGAGTTCGTCCAGGGAAGTATCTATTTCTAGCCACGTTACCTTTTTCTACCGCCAAGTAATAATGTCAACATTACTGTTTGCCGGTTTTGAAGGGTAAGGGTGCTGTTAAAATTACAGGCATATGGGACTTGACAACCTATGTCTCAGGGTGACGGGCGCAGTGGCAGTGCTTCTCAGATCTTTACGATTTAAAGCTCTGAGTGGCACTGCAACTGTTATGGACAGGCGTGTGACTTACTGTCAGGCGCACGACTTGTTCGCCCCGACACATGATATTATAAAAAACAAACGTGTATTGTCTTGGTGAATAAATATTTTGTATTTGAATTTACGTGCCTAGATGACGCCATTATAAATTCACAAAATATAGTTCGTAGTTGCAATAATAGTCTTGCCCATCACTGCAATATGGCGACGTGCTTCCTGCCTGTGGAGTAAATTGCACTTTCCAAACCCAAATCTCTATAGACCGATATTTTCATGCATAAGCTTGTGAATACATAAAAGTCTATAACATAATGTTTATTTATGGCAGCCATATTGTCTGTAGCCAAGCCCCATCGCGTTCAATTTATATTCATAGCGTAGTTGGCTCACTGTTCTGCTTTCTTGCATTGTGTACTGAAACGTTGAGTGCAGATCTTTGTAATTGAAAAAAGTGCTTGGTTTGCTCCGCTGGTTAAAATGATGATTTGAACTAGTAAACACGAGTCTTGCTATTAGAACGATTGCAAACTCTTTCAGAGTGTTCTTGAACCGGATTTAAAAGAGGAAACTGTTATAGACGCATGCGAGTGAGTTTAGCGTACGAAATTGAACTTAAGATCCATTCCGTATGGTATAATTGTAACTTATTCTTTGAAAAATAAAACCGACCTCAAAAGTTTCCTTATCAATGACATGACAATGGGACTGTTACGGACTCCTTTGTACAATTTATATTTTCTTTTCAGATTGTCATGATGACGGTGATTTGTTCATTACATGTACTTTTTTTTTGACGGGAGGTAATCTTTATGGATACCCCTGAGCCCAGGGAGACTCAGAGGTTATGTGGGGACTCTCCCTCCAGACTGTAGGGCCTACCCCACTAAAACTCGCCTTCTCCTCGTACGTCTGCGCCGAAGCAAGGACGCGAGGACGCGCCGCGGCCTCTTTTTGCCTCTCAGGACTCCTCGCTACCGAGCATGGCGGCAACCACCCTCGGCAGCGAGAGGTCCTGCCCTACAGTCCCCGTCAGAGTGCGGCGCTGCCCATCCCACCGGCTGCACACCTCAAGAGTGTGCTGCGCGGTGTCATCCGCAGCGCCGCACTCGTGGCACGACGGGTTCATTACATGTACTGTGTCAAGTCGATCGACTTTTCAGATTACTTTTGTTTGCGGAATATAATTAGTAATTTGTGATAGCCCAAACGAATCCGAAACTGCATCAGGGTCCACCTCGAGAGTATGCCCTTTCAAACAAAAGAAGAATTCTGAAAATCGGTGCACAATTGATGGAGAAATTGGTGAATACACGGACATGTCCATAACATTTGAGGATCTCCTTCGATTTTCATGAGGATCCCCTCATCAGATTCTTGGTGTCAATGGACCGTCACGACTTTTCAAATAAAAAAAGAATTTTCAAAACCGGTCCACAATTGACGGAGATATCTGAAAACATACATAATCCGAACGTGTAACCTCTAACCTTTTTTTTTGAAGTCTGTTAAAAATGTACGTTTAAAAAGTTTCGAAACATTGTGATTATTATTTACATTAGCAGGATAATTTTCATTACTTTTCTCCACCTAATTTCGATGGCAATTTTTATTTTTTAAGGATTCTCATCGTGAAATAATAAATAATATTTTAAGATACTACACTCGTTACACATTAAGAGGGAGCAGAGGAAAAATTCCTGATCTTCGATTTGATTTTAGAGGGGTATATCCACTTTAAAGTTAAAAAAAAAAAATTGTATGAGTAACTACACGAGATATTCAAGCATAGACATTAATCGGAAACATAAAACAATAAAGTTTCCTCGATAGATAAAAATCTCGAAATGACCTCTAATTTTCAAATTTTTTCGATTCATCCTCGAAATACTACAGGTTGTTAGGACAAAAATTAGATAATTAATTATATTTATGCATGATCGACAACTGTCACTACGGATTTTTTTTTAATCCCTTTAGTTTTAGAGTTATTCCGCTAAAACGAATTTGGTACTTTTAATGCGCAAAATTCAACATCTCCTGTCGCATGTCACGCGAACTTCAGGCATATATTTGTTTCACAAATTTGGGCGGAGCCAACGTCAAAACTTTTTTGGCATGAAAGCTCTTAAATAATAGTTATCATGATAATATTCTAGAATATTTAAATAATAAAAATTTCCACCGGAATTAGATGGAAAAAACGAATCTCAAAATTACCCAGCAATAGAGCTCCTTGTGAGACCGCCAAGCAGTAATGTGAGCATTATTGTGTTCCGGTTGTGAAGGATTACTGACACATGGGGCTGTCAACTATATGTCTCAACTACGTAACAAATACGTCACTCTCATACAAATTCGAAAATACCTACGCTGTAATAGCTTACTAAATCTGTCTAATGACACCAAGCGCTCACTGCGAGGAAAAAGGAACCTAAGCACGCGCTCAGAGAGGTGACAATAACGTTGCCCGCCGTGTGCAGTCGTGCGGAACCGAATGATCGGATAGTACAACGATTGTAATGTAGATTAAATTTTATTTCTGTGTATTTTTAATGTATATAATTATAAATATTTTTAATTAGTTTATCTTGTTTTTAATAGTTACTTTTTTTAATAATAGTATTTAATTACTTGTAGCTATTTGTATTATTTCAGTTATGGTTTATTTCTTTTTTTTATTTCATTGGATGAACTTGTTTATTGTTTTTCTGTCGTGTCCACACGGTAAAAACAGATTACTTAAAAATAGACAAATTTCTTTGTATGAAGACAATTTTATTAAATCCAAGAAAACGATTCGCTCCCTATAGACGCTAGAGAATAATTACTTGATAATAGTAAAAAAACGTCTCAAAAGTGTATTTTAGTTCTAAGACAGAAATATTTAATCCAAGAGCAAATTAATTTATTTAAGTCATAAAGCTACTCTAGATTCAAGAAAATATTTATTTGTTATTAGAAATTTCTGATTTTGACTTGAAAAAAAAAGAATGAAAATTGAGAGATAATTATTTAACTGGAGATTTATGTTTTCTATGTTTAAGAGAAGTTTGATTTCATTCTGAAACCAAATTTCTTAAATTATGACTTTTGGTTCAGTTATATCAAAGCAACTTTCTGCTATTAATAAGTCCATTACAATCTTAATGTAAGATTTTACCGTCTTGGGTTAAAATGTGGGGTAAATCTTAATGTAAGATTTTACCGTCTTGGGTTAAAATGTGGGGTATTTTTGATTTAAGTCATTTTGTTTGTTTAAAATAAGGCTCAATTTATATTGCGGTGGAACGGAATGGAAGCGAATTTTTGTAACGATATTATACATAACATAATGAACATTATGGTCGATTGTGTAACGGTACAAACTAGATACGAGCCAAAATCTTCCGCGGAATGCTCGAGCATTCTCGAGCATGTACGTTACACAATTGACCATAAAATTCATTGTGCTATGTACAATAACGTTACAAAAATTCGCTTCCATTCCGTTCCGCTGCTATATAAATTGAGCCTAAGGGCATAGTTTGTGAATAATTAAAAAAATATATAACCGCCTTCAAAACGCAACAATTAATTTTAATGAAGTCGTTGGCGTTGCTGTTATGACGTTCCGACTTTATCAAATTATAATTATTGCTTCTTGAAAACGGTTGTATTTTTTTGAGAATTGTTCACAAATTTAAACAAAATAAAATTGCAGGCTTAAAATACTTGACACAAAACGACTTAAATAATAAAAAGATTATACTTATTTAGGAAATAAATTAAAAAACGTTTATTTTTTGTACACGTATACAATACTGGCATAATATTAGTAAAATACAAAATGAATTATTGACATGAAAAACTTTAACATAGAAAATTAAATTACAACTCACAGAAATAAAATTCGTGTCCCTACATATATGCATATATGTGTGACAAACCATAATTCAATAAACCTTAGGGCTTGTTTACGTAACTTACTTATTTTATATAAATTTGCACTGCAACAACCCTTCTGAATAATTTAAACAATCACACTATCCCTGGAGTATAACATAGGGTTGAACAGACAATTTCTTGCTTGTCGCCTTTTGTTTTTGTTCTTTGATTACTTGGTCTATATCGCCAGCATTCTAGAAATTAAGATAGTATTAAGAGTACATAATGAAACATAATAAGTATCCACAACAGATTTGTGAGCCAATCTTTACCACAAAGTAATATTATAAATGAGGCATAAATATTGAAAACAAAAAATACATATATTATATACAGGAGGCAGTTTTATATATATATATACCTACTCATCCGTAGAACAAAGATCTATATGTGCAAGACTACTTGTTCTCAGGACATAGTACATTTCGTTTGTTCTTCTTCGCTGTAAATGTCAGATCGACTGTTGTTGGATTTTATATTTTCGAAACGAAACAAAATATATAAATTGTCAAAACGCCTTTACACAGGCCTTAGTTTGAATAACGAAATTATTCTCGTAACGTTCTTATTCTCTTTTCGTTATATAATCATATCGGACTTCGGATGAGTCGACATATATAACTTCCTCCGTGGCCAAACGGTTAGCATGCCGAACTGCCAACGCAGAGGTCCCAGGTTGGATTCCCGGGTTGGGAGAAATATCTGTATGGCCTAAATTTATTTATCTCGTGAGTTTGAGTGTAATTTGTGATTGTTTATGTGTATATCCATGGCACCCGCGACACAGGGTTTCCCTAGGGCGGGGCTATTAAAAAAAACATACCGGCACACAAATATATAAGGAGTCAATTGCTTCCTGAGTAGTGAACTTAATTTTTTTTGAAATTCTTCCCTTTGGAGGCACCAGATGTGCGAGTATTTTAAGCTCAGCAGGAAGTGTTACTGTAACAATTGAAAATAATATTATACAATTCTATCTATCAAATTTAGCCACTGTAGCGAAACTCTATACCACTCAAACTTTAATCAGACAACGTAGGCCTCTAAATTAGATCTGAATATTTCGAAGAGAAGAAGGAAAGACATTGTGGTAAAAGTACCTCAAGTAAATACAACATTTGCAAACAGACAATTCAATCGATCGGCCCAATCGATCCAATCGATCGGACGGACGGACAGACGAACGCACGCACGCACGCACGCACGGACACACACGCACACACTGACACATGGACGGACCGACGGACAGACGGACCGACGGACCGACGGACCGACGGACAGACGGACTGACGGACAGACAGACTAAGTTAAAAATGTTAAATGTGAATTTATAGCTATGGAAGAGCGGTACCTCCTGACACTGACGCTTGACAAGCTTAATAGGAGGTACCATCCACTGTTAATGTAAAGTTAATTGCATTACTGAAATAAACATTTTCTTATTATTTATTTTACTAATTCTATCTCAAGCTTTATAAAATTAAAAACGAACACTTACAATCATTGTCTAAATTTTTCAGTGACTCAATAAGGTTCAAGATTCTTTCGTCTCTGTTCGGTTTAAAAGCAATAATTTTTTCGAAAAATATTTTCCAATTTAAATAAAAATTCAGCCCTTTTTCTGGATACAACAAGTCGAAGTCAATGTTTATCTGAAAACAAATATCATAGTTGTCAAAATGATTGGTCTGCGTCAAGATGGAGGGACCCTAGCTCAGAAATGAAACGTAAAACATATGAAAACAGATTACATACGAATATGTCACTTCTTTGGTCTGATAATATTTTCCAGTCTTGTAGAAACTCATGAACGCTCTTGTGTTCACTTTCTTTTCGAACTTTAAACGTATCTTTACATTTTTGTATTACTTCACCCCATGGTTCGGTGTTATTGTTGAGAAACAGTATATCTCTTAAATGTAAATCTAAAAAAAATCATGTTAGTGTTTCATTTTATCCTTATTGAAATGTTTTGTAAGACTTTCATTATTTACCTGCATTCCAATCACCTGACAAATGCCTATCCCACGTAAGTACCTGTTCCTATCTAATAATAATAATATTATAGATTTTTTTAGATAGAGGATATAGTAACAAAACAACCTATTGAAAATAAACATTAGTTCAGCAAAATTCAATAGTTTAGAATTCATGATCATTTATTTACAGTCAATAGCACATCAGACCACACATTTTTATTTGAAAATCGCCTCCAGTGCAACGGAACAAGATACGTCAATGTGTAACTTGATACGTTGCCATCCATACTTTTTCAATATTTTCTATTCTAGTCATTAAAACCACCACCAGTATCATAATCGTTATTCAAACAATTTTAACTTAATTTCTCAAAAGAAAACATTGGTTCAGCTCAGATTTACATGAAATTATTCTCAAACCTATCTATTTATCAGAAGTTCTCTATATGTTTTTAAACATTTTCTTTTTGTGTACATTATGACCATTAGAGAGTTAAAATTGTAGAAACTCATGAACATGAATTGTCTAAAAAATAACGGAGCAATCTAAGAACAAACACAAAAATGGTTCATTGCATGCTAGCTACATGGTTACTACTACTTTAATACCAAATTTCAATTAATTTAGTGGAATAATTTTCAAAATAGACTAGTTTTAAACTTTTGACTAGAGTAGAAAATTTTCAAGAAAGTACATAAAAAAATCATAACTTAAGCTATTGATTTTTGCTAAACTAATGTTTATTTTAAATGGGTTGTTACTCCTCTATGTAGAAAAATTTTTGGACCACTGTAAATGGGGCCCACTTACAGTGGATTTACAGTTACATTTACCTGTATTAAAAACCCAGAATGATGCGACTTAGAATACCTACTCTCAAATACCTAAATAGGTTCATAAATTGCTTTAACCCAGTGAAAGTCAGTGGGTTTGCTTGCAAGCCTATTTAAAAAAAAATTACCTTGCAAACCTTGAATATACTGTCTTTTAAACGGTGGAGCATTTTCTAGAGTGCCAGATTGTCGCTTGTGTGTGGTCTCCATATTTATACAGAAGGTTACGGACTTTGCCCACCAATTTTCCTCATGCTACTGTAGAACGTCCATTAAATGAATTTTTTTTTTATAGGTTTGGTAAAATAAGTGCCTATTGACTCCTTTGGAAACAGTGATATTATTTTCGCAGATATAATATTATATTCTTCATAGGTTATCCGGCTAAAAAAATGATGATGTATTATTGGGAAGTGTAAAAGTAATCAGAACACAGTATATACTTACTAATATATACAGTATAAAAGTAATCAGAACACAGTATATACTTACTAATATATACAGTATATGTATACTTACTAATTGACAATGTATGTGTAATTATATCGGTCAACTGGTTTCTCTTGGTATTATTGAGAAAACCATATGTTTCATAGTATTTTAAAATACTATTGCCACCTGCTGACGTATGCAGTAGTGTCTCCAAATCAAAATGTGGAAATGTTTTTCTAGATACACTTTTGGTTGTTTCCAAGATGTCGACCACTTGTAGTTCATCTAATGAAACTAATAAACTGGTAAAAAACTAATAAAAATAAACAATCACTGGTGCTTGTCTCAAATTTACTGGAGGTGGGAGTAATAATGACTTGATCATCAGTTGATTCAGATACTGCATCCGTTGTTGCCTGTAAAGTTAAAAAAATAGAATATATTGTGTATTTTATAGTCAAGCTATGTTAAGATAGTCAGTATGAAAGCACTTTCAACTAAATTTTTTAACTTAAACATACAGGTCCGTCACCTGTGCAGTAATAAGCTCCCCTATCTTTTCCTCTAAAGATAGTCTAGTCCCCATATGTGGGCATAATTCTTTCAAATTGTCTAGTTTTAATTTGGGAAAATGTTCAATCATTATACCATTCTCTGCAAAAGTCGTCAAGTTTGTAAATAAAGTCAAATTAAATCAAATATCTTTTTATGTATTTTACTTCTAGTTTAATAACGCACACACACACTGAATAACACACACATTCAATAACACATACACTGAATATACCCCGCACAAGGGAAACCCTGTGTCGCGGGTGCCATGAACACACAAATAGACAACCACAAACTGCACCCAAACTCACGAGAGAAACAAATAAATAAATCCCTCCATTTTACGCTTACATTCAAGGTTATGTACAAAATATCATCATGCGCATAAAAATGTAATACTTACACAATTAATACATAATAACATCAAATCACTCACCAATAAAATTGGTCACTACAAGTTGTGGTATATTCCACGATTCCAAAAGTTCTTTCAACGAATCCATTACTGTTTCCACAAACAACAAATAGAAAAATCAGTTCCTTTTTAAGATTTTATTCTCCTTGCCTTACCTTTTTAAGATTTCAAGTAAAACTAAGTAAGTATAGTTCACTTTGCTTCACATTTTAAATAATTGGCTATTGATTTATGGATGGCTTCTTCAATCGCAGATACCACGGCCACGGAGACGGAGCGCGCGCGTTTTCAACATGTCACGACATGATTGAAAATGACAAAGCAAAATGTTGCCATAAAAAATGTATTCTCGAATTTAGAATATTACTCTTATTAGCAAAATAACTTTTTTTTTGTCTAAGAAAATATTTTCTTAAAACACATCCAAGAAATTGGGGATTCAGTTGAGATTATTTAGATTTGATGTAAGAGGAAAAAATTTCTTGATGTAAGTAATGTCCAATTAATTGATTAGAAATGAAATAAAATCTTGAAGTGAACGTATTTGTCTCAAAGTTAGAATAAAGTTAAGAGTAAAATTGTATTAGAAAAAGATAAGCAGTATCTTTGTAATGACAATATTTTATTACTTTAAATAAATATGTTTTCAGAATTAGCAAATATTTTGAGAAATTGCTCTTTCTTATTAGTAGAAATCCTTTTTTTCTGTGCACATTTGAATGCCGTGGCGACCTTGAATTTGATTTTGATGAATATTTTTTGTTGGAAAGAAGGTGACCTCATAATTGGTCCATTTAAATTTGAAGAAAATATTCCACCTCTATAGGTGGCAAACTAGGGGATGAATGACTTTTAAGGGGGGTTTTTTAGTACTCTATACTGAGATTATTTATATTTACTTATATCCAGCTAAAACTCTGCAAACTCACATCAGTGTCACTTTTCAACGTAAACATATGCTTATAGTACCAAATTGGCACGGTATTAAATTCAATATGTGCTTGGTATATCCGACGTTGATAATTTACCGCCTCCAGTTTCCTACATAAGAGTGGATACGTGACGTGTCACTAAATCCTGTTTATCGGAGCACGGAGATGAATTGGCGTATTGGTATTTATTTATAACTCCACAGATAATGTTATCCATAAATAAAATACTGCAGCGTGAACGGAAATCGTTGCCTAGTTGCTGTATACTGTTTTAACCCAAATACGTCACACAGAAGGCGTACAAGTTATCTCTAAAAATAAAAATTAAGGTGTTTGTGCAGCACGTCGTTCAATATGGATTGTTTATTTTCTATCTTGCTAGAGTTGTGAACGTCAGATTCATGGCATAAAAAATATTTCACAGGTTGATAGCAATAGATTTAGTGGCAGTTGCTGGTGCTGGAGAAATTACAGGTTCATGGTACTTGTCAATTTATGTCTCATGGTGACTGGCACAGTGGTTGTGCCTCTGAGATCTGCCAGTGTTATGAAAAGGCGTGTTACTTACTACCAGGCGCATGCCTTGTTCAAAAAAATTTATTACTGCCGTCCCCACACTATGGAAGCCTGTGTCGTGGTCATACCGAAATACTTGGCCTCTTAAAATGAACAGAATGGAATCAAAATATTAAACAAGTAAACTTCTGAGACACGCAAATATCAAAAATTAAATAAATACTTGGACTGAGTATAGGAATTTGAAGCCTCTTTTTTTTAAAATAATTTACCTAAATATATATTTGAATTGTGGTGTTCCAATTTATGACAGGCCATGGCAAAACAACAGCGAGGACTATGTAATTAGCTGAGTCATGGAACCTTTTGACATACATTTTTTTTAAATTTTAAATTGAATTTTTTTCTTCGAAAAAAAAATTTTTTTAAATCAGTCACTACATCATTTCTTCAGACCATTTCTAGTCAAGTTCAAAATAAGGTTCATAATCACCACGCATAATTCGAAAACAAAAATTCTGACTACTTTTTGATAAACGCTCGAAACTAGAAATAAATCGGATTTAGTTATGTAAAAAAGATCGACTCGTAAAATGTCATTTTCAGAACACGAGTATACAAAAATACGTCAGTTCTTTATTTAAGAAAATTCAATCAGATTTATTTATGCGTCGGAGTCTTAGTCCAATCACAAGAATCCGCTCCTAAGGGAGTTCCCTATATCGACTTGACACAATTACCTAAAATTGATTTGTAGACACAAGCGTGTCGGATTTACCCTCATGTCGCTTTCCACAACCCCCTGCAAGAAGATATGGGGGAGCTGTATTTCCATCCGACAACATACCGCCTTTATACAATTCCTTTTTGATTACTCGTGATTCTCACCCTTTTATAACGCTTCATAAAAGAAATCGCTTTCGTATCACCAGAGATTCTAGGTAGATAGGATTGCTTAAGGCAAGACACCGAAGGAGAAGCGGGAAAAGCTGTTCCTTCCTTCCTCAAACCTGCTAGATGTGGAAAGATCTTCCTCTTGAAGTATTTCCTTTTTTCAATTAATAATAAATAATACATAAATAACGCGCGCACTCATAGCTCTGCACTAGGGAAACCCTGTGCTGCGTGTGCCATGGACACACTCATAGACAACCACAAATTATACCCAAACTCACGAGAGAAATAATACTGGTTTTAATTATTAATACAAAGATCGAACACTCAGAAAAAACACTCAGAAAAAATTCCTTCGCTCTGGTCGGATCCGACCGGATCGAAGTCAGTCCGACTGAGTGTTCGATCAACCAAAGCCATTTGAGATATAGATTCTTAATCAATTAAGACTCGAAAGTCTCGATATTTCGTAGACACCAGTCTCGAGTCTGTCAAATGTCAAAATATCTGGTCTAGTAAAGACTCGACCTAGTCTCACTAGACAAAGGCCTCTTATATCGACACCTTACAACGATGTGTTTTATCTACACGAGCATCTTCGGGTTCGACACAATGGAAGTTATCTGTAAGCCTTGTTTGATAGATAATTGAAAAGCTATAATCGTAAACGCCACCAACGTCTATTGAACTTTTTCAGCGGGTACAGAAAATACAAAGAAAAAATACCATCCCTTACTACTTATAATAATTGCCTCCGTGGCCGAACGGTTACCATGTCTGCCACACAGAGTTTGATTCCCAGGCCGGGATAAATATGTTTAACACCTAAAAAAATTCTTTTCAAAATCGGTCTACAATTGACGGAGAAATCGGAAACACACCCGAACGTATAACCTCCCCCTTTTTTTTTGAAGTCAGTTAATAAAAAGCAAAAGTTCCTGGTATTACTTGGAATACAAGTCGGTTATTGGAAAGCTCGCGAAATCGAATTCATCCCTTAGTTTGCCACCCTTAGAGGCGGAATATTTTCTTCACATTAAAATGGAACCAATACTGAGGCACTCTCTTTCCAATAAAAAAAAGAATCATCATTTTTTTGTGTATGTAACAAACAGTGAATTTGAAAACCTCCTCCTTTTTGGAAGTCGGTTAAAGAGCGTTGTTTTTACATTTACGAATTTATAATGGATCGATGATGATGATGATGATGAAATCTCTGTTCCCTCGTGAATAAAAAGCAGGCTTTAACATTCATAATGGAATACGTAACAAGGGATGATTGCAGGAAATAGGGTCGGCGGCGTATTAGGTTTTCCGTGTATATTACATTAAGGCAGCTGTATTACGACTGCCAACCTTTTCGGCAATTGCTTATTGGATTTTACCCAATAATGCATCCGCCAGCTAAGAACATAAACGTAGTATGATAACGTAATACATGTAGAGTGTATTATATCCACCTGTGAAACCACGTAATGACTTTTTTTATTATGATATCAAGTGACAGGACGAACGAGTCGTGCGCCAGGTGGTAAACGACACAGCCTGTCTACAAATCACAAATATATGAGGGGCACTTCCACAACGTCCTTCACCCCGAGACACAAGTTGACAAGTCCCGTTTGCCTGTAATTTCACCGGCACTTTTTACCTTTCAAAACCGGACTACAGTAATATTACTTCGCGGCAAATATAGGTCAAAGTCCAACACAACTAATGTTTATTTCATAGGTAAGCAAATTACACTTGAATTGTGGTACTGCCCCCGTAGCATGGCTACGAATGATAGTCGCGATGCGCGCGATAAAATTGGAATAAGCGCGCGCTATTGGCTATCT